ACTGCCGTCACCTCATGACGATCGTCGTGACTAGCAGCCACATCTGCTACGTGCCGTCTCCCGCCTGCTGTTAGTCGTCCAATATTGCCATACAGCATCCTTGTTCGGTCGTCTGGGTCAGGAACGTGCACGTTGCGTGCATGCACCCAACCAGAAATTAACAGCAATAACGGAGCTGCATGCGACGCCATCGACCATTCAGGGCCAGGCAGCCTGTGTCGGTCCTCCGGGCCAATCTGCAGAGTCTGTGCGGTGCCGCTCATGTCTGATCCTTCACCGGCCGCCGCTGAATCTCGCGTTGACTCGGCCCGCTCGCCACCGACCGCCTGCGCTTCATTCACCAGTCTCGAGCCTTCTTCCTGCTAGCCACGGGTGGCGAATCGGCTGCGGCCCCTGATCCTCTTGCCATACTTGAAGAAGATGAACGGGAACGGCAGCATGGCAACCGTCAGGAAAGCGAGCAACGACGAGGCCCAGGAATAACCCAGTTTATTGTACATTTGAGTCCCGAACAACGGGAAGGCAGCTATCCCAAGGCATCCAAGTCAGCACAGAACCGAGACACGACACCACCCAGCCGGGTGGTTATGAGCGTTGGTGCCACTAGGTAACTCACCAGCAAACATGCATCGCACAAACGCATTGCTTGCGAGGGCCGAGGCGGCGTACAAGGGATAAGCATCGACCTGTGAGCCCAAACTTTTAGCACAATTCCGCCGTGTAACTCCCGGTCCCGAGACTGATTCCAAACCCCTGGAACGCCACAATCGGGGAGCCGACAGCGAGAAAGCCACACTTACAAGAAACGTAAAGATGCCAGTAAAGACGAGGAGGGTTCTGTGACACCACCAAGGCGGTCAGCTGCATGTCCCGCATACAAGTTGGGGGATAAAAACGAGACAACACCGTGGTCCGTAAGGCCTGACAAAGCTTGCCTAACGGCCGAGAACATGCGCAAAGATGCATGAACCTGCAGAAACCTGCCGGAGGCGACCATTGGCATGTCGTGGAATCACGGATCATTCTCCAGCTTTGGGTCATGCTTGCGATGCTGTGCGAAGGGAAAAACGCCGACTTACCCTGCTCCAAAGATGGCAGATCCAATGACGGGCATGATCCAGTGCAGATGGAGACTCCATCCAAACCAAAAGATGCCAATGGGGCACAGGAAGGCGCCGCAGATGACTGCAGGGAGCCGGAATTCTGGCTCGCTTGCCCCCTCGACGCCCGTCTCCTTCTCCAGATCGGCTATAAGCCGGCTGCGGATATGGTGCCACAAAGGATCGGTCGCAGCGGCAAGGAACATGCCAACGAGGATGCCCATGAAGGTCAGTCCGACTTGCCAAAGGTTGAGACCGTGGACGTTGCCAAAGACGAGCGGGAACGCGCCGAAGAAGAGATACAATATACCCAGGAGGATTGCCGAAAAGACGTCGAGGCTGAGGACCATGGGCTCGAAGGCGAGCAGCTGGAAGGGGCGCATCAACGAGATGCCAATGGTCTTGATGACGGACTTTGTCGTCTTCTCGACGGGGGCCTTCCAGCGCTCATCTCCCGTTTCCTTTCGCATCTCGCGTGCCTTGTTTCGAAGGACAATCGGATCTATACCGCACACGTCAGCCGCCAGGAGCTGATCCCGGGGTGTTGGAAAGGGAAAGAGGCGCGCCTCCTCCACGGGTCAACTCACGATACGTCTCAGGTACGAAGACGACAATAGCGACTAATAGCGCAAAGGCCCAGATGATCAACACATAATAGGTCCACCTCCAGTCGACGTTGTAGTTGATGAAGCCGCCAATCAGCGGGCCGATGCAGGGCCCGATGAAGGGGGCAAGCGAGTACATGAGCATCGGAGCTTGGAGCTCATGACGGGCGAATAAGTCGCTGACGGTGCCGCCAGAGACGGCCAGGAAGGCGCTGCCCGATAGGCCGTCGAAGAAGCGAGCGACGATCATGGTCGCGATGTTCTGGGCGACGGCTGAAGGGATGAGCCAGATGAGATACATACTCCAGGAGACAATGTAGATGGGCCGGCGGCCGCAGAACTCGCTGAGCGGGCTCAAGAACATGGGGCCCAGGCTGATTCCAAGGACAAAAGTCGACAGGCCGATGGTGGCCACGATACGGGAGTTGCCGAACTCGGCGTCCATCTGGCCATAAGTCGACGTGTAGATGGAACTCGCGGCGGTGCTGTCTCACAATGTCAACGCCCTCGTTCCCCCAGAGACTGGTGGTCTCACTTACACGCAAAAGCTGGCGCACGACACGATGGACACGACGAGCCACTTTCTGAACTTGCCCATGCTTCGTGGGCACATGGGGTCGCTGTCGCCGCCGTCGAAGGCCACCTCGTAGGGGTCGACCTCTTTCTCGGCCACCCCCCCCTGCGGGCTGTCGTCTCCGTGCTCGTAGTCGTCGCAGCTATAGCCGTTGTGCGAGCGCGGCCGGCTGAGCGAGCGCGAGCGCGAGTGCCGGGCAGATCGCGTCGATGCGCTGCTGATGGCGCCGGTGCGGATGGGTTCGAAGCCCGACTCCCCGTGGACCGTGGTGCTCTCATTGTCGGGATGGGACGAGCGGCTCTCGGCCTTTTCGATGTCGTCCGTCATGGTCGGGCAACGGACGCTGTTGGAGCGAACAACAGGCAGTTCTACACGATTTAATATTATCGTTCCCCCCCCTCCTTTCTACCCTCCCCCCCCCCGGTTTGATACTCGGGTCGCGGATGTCGGGTATATGAGCAAGGGTGTTCCGGTGTTTGGGCCGGCTTCCGAGTTCCAGGAGGCTAATGTGGACCGTGATAGAACCAGGATCGAGGTAGGTCAGGTTCGATTGCTTGGTACAATTTTGCCTGCGACCAACAGATGGTAGGGTGTGGATAGATTTTGATCAAGAAGTGGTGGAAACAAAAGACATCTCCCGTTGAAACATTTTTGTTTTCTATCTGTAACCGCGAGATGGGAAGAAAAAAAACATGGATGCGGGTGAAAGTCTACTTTTTGTTTGCAGTTCGAACAAGGTCAAGCGAGTGGGTATGGATAGCACGGCAGGATAACATCATCACGCACGACCATCTACCAAGCTACATAGGTAATGCTCAATCTCCTACACCACTACTCGCGCAGTTACATTAGTCAATGATGGATGAGTGGTTCCAGCTAGCGGCGCATCCGTCACCGTTTGGTAGATTATTCAGCCCAGAGACGCGGTTCGTTGTTCGCTCTTGATTCAATGGTACCCCGGACCGGAAGTGGATCCTGTCATTGCAGCCGACGTGAAGGGAGGGGGGCACAACCATGTCATGGAGTGCCCATGGACGAAGACGGGTGGGAATGGATGACGCTGCTGCCGCAAAACGGGGCGGGGGTCGCCGCTGCCTTTGCGATTTATCCCCGGAGGCGAGGCAGCGTCCGGCAGTGCTCAGCCAAGGACATCAGTATCGGAGAACGGGAATGGGAGTGAGTGGGAGAGAAAGAGAGAGAGAGAGAGAGAGAGCGTTCGTCTGATGCCATGACACGGTAGCCGCAAACATCTCGCAAGTTTGTCGCATTCTGTTAGTAAGCACCCCAAAGCGTAGAAAAGTGCCTCATGGGAAAGTGGAAAAAAAAAGGGGTCCGGCGGAGCGGCTTCGGAAATAAACCGTCATCAACGTGACGTCGCAAAAACCGAGAGAGAGAGAGAGAGAGAGAGCAGGAGGGCCTTTCGACATCTGTGGAACCGATCGGGTGAGACAAGGAGGCGCCTGTCAGTCATTCAGTCGACTTTTCCGCAATGAGTCGTAAGGCTAAAACGGGCCTCGTAACGTACGCGCTGGGGAAGGCACCCCCGACAAACACAACCACACGCCAGACGGCGGAATTCCACCTCGGAACGAAGCTAGATTGGAATGGCCTTGAAGCTCTGGGAGGGTCATGGGAAGGGTATTAGGGGGGGGGGGGTTCCTACTTCTTCCTTTCCTCCTTCTCCTCCTTCTCCTCCTTCTCCTCCTTCTCCTCCTTCTCCTCCTCCTTCTTCTTCCCCTCCCACTAGTTTCCCACCCTCCGCCAGTCTTTCCTAGAGGGTTCGTGACGAACCAGGGTACGTCGCGGCATCGGGACCTCACTGATGGAGGGGGAGGAATGGAATGGAAGGTTGATCCCCGCACCCCAACTGCCTAAACTACAAAGTATCGTACCTGGACCTCCCTCCCTACCGGTACTACCTACCTAGGCAACTAGGTAGGCCAGGTACGGATACTCTGTGAACCTCCACCAGCATGTTGGTTAGCCCGATCCGGACGCTGATGGTTCGTCGCTTCGCTTCTTGTGCAGAGCGCCGAAGCCGCGAGGATCGGATGGCGTCACGTCGCTCCCACGCCGCTGGCACCAAAGCTTAGGTATGCTTTTCCTGACAGCTTCTTAATAATCCATCTTGTCGAACCCCTTCTCTCTGTCCGCCACTCTCTCCCCCGATCCGCTATTCGGCGCTGGCTAAATCCGGCTTATTAATTATTGGGCCACCCAAGTGACCTGCTGCTGCTGCTAACACCTAGATTCGCGAACCGTGGGTATCACTAAAGCTTGAACATCACCCGACATGTGCTGGATTGGTCATGCTCCATTCGTTTGCTGCCATAATCTCTTTACCCGTCGCTTGTTTGCCAAGTATTCTGTCAGGGTTTTTTCGGGACTAGGAAAAAACATCACCGAAGAGCAGGCCGGCCTATGTAACTCTATTCATTGTTTGACTATATACTCGGAGTCTCGTCGTGTGCATCTCCATTGGTGCGTCATTATCATACATGCCCTTCAATCTTTCCTTGCTACATGACTGTCATCGCCCGTCGCTCTCCTCCATACATGAAATCTGCCCCGTTAAACCAATCAAAAAATACAGTTGCTGAACCCTGGAAGAAAAAGAAACAAAAAAACGCCAATTGCATGCAACAAAATGCTTACATGTCGTCCGTTTGTCGTCGTCTACTAGTCGTCCGCCCGCCGCCGGACCTCCGAAAGCCCGCTCTCTCACATCCGGTAGTACTCTGGCACGTCGTCAAAATCCGGCACGGTCCCTGAGCAGTCAAAGTCCCGGTCGTACGCCTTGGCCGGCAGGATCCCGGCCGCGAGGCCCTTCTTGTAGCTCCACAGCGGTGCACTCTCCGTGTCCCACGTCCAGTACCACCACCCCCACCCCTTCTCGAACGAGTGCATCTGCGCCTCGGCGAACATCTGCAGGAACTTCTTGTAGTCGCTGCTGAACCCATTGGCGTCGCCGTTGGCCGCGTTGCAGTCGCACTTCGAGTCCTGCGTCGGACACCGGGGCTCGAGGATCGACGTCGACGCGTTGCCCGTGTTGTAAGTGCCAGTCCATCGGTTGCCCCAGCCGACGTTGGTGAGGTACTTGGCGCAATCCGTGTCCGCCTGCGACCACTCGGCGAAGAGCGTCGGCCCGTACCCCGTCGACGTGTCCATCGACTGCTCCGCCTGCTGCGTCCACCCGCTACACGCGTACTCAACCTTCTTCTTGTGCGTATAGACGATCTGGTCCGTGTTGAAAATGACGTACTGGTGCACATCGAGCGCCAGGTCGCTATACCCCGTCAACTTGCCCTGCCAGTTGCCCAGCCCCATGAACCCGTCGCCAAATACCACGATGCCCCCGATGCCGTTGCTCTTGACCAGCTTGTACGCCTGCTCCGTCCACGACACCACGTCCGCGTTGTTCAGCTCCACGTTGCGCGGCTCGTTGGCCAGCCCGTAGAAGGCGATGATGTTCTTGTACCGGTCTTGCGCGAAGAACTTGGAGAGCCGGTCGTGCATATCGAGACTGCGCTGCGCGTTCGTCGCGCCGTCGGGGCCGTTGAGCCAGCCGATCGTACCCTGGCGGCCCGAATGGTTCCACCCGTTCTGGCTTCCGGGCAGCCCGTGGACGTCGAGGTTGACCCGGAGGCCGTACTTGCGAGCCCACTCGATGCCACGAAGGAGGTAGCGCCAGGAGGTGCGGAAGAGGTACGGATCGCCGTCGTAGACCTCGACGGCCCAGTAGTTGAAGGGGATGCGGACATGGTCGAGGCCGGCATCCGCGATTTCCTTGAACGTCGATTCCGTGACGAACGTCGCGTAGTGCTTCTCGAGGACCTCGGCCGTCTTCTTCGTGCCGAGGTGCTGGCAAAGCGTGTACTCGTCAATGATACCCAACCGCGGGTCGTAGTCGAAGAGCGACGGCGTGATAAAGGGTTCCAGGTTTAGCCACCCGCCGACGTTGACGCCGCGGGCCGGTCGTGATCCGTATGACCCCCAGGAATCATTGATGGCTGGCACCTTGTCGTTGGCGCGCTTCGAGTCGTCCCAGTCCGTGTATAGGCCCATGACGGGTAGGTCGCCAACCATTTCATCGGTAAAGGTAACGTTGAAGTCGGTCGTGTCCTGCCAGGACCACGGGTCAAGGTATGTCCCGCGCCACTGCATCGGTACGCTGTCCTTATTGCTGTTACCCAGAGTGGTTTTTGACGGGCTGCTCTTGTTCGAGTTGTTCTTGCTGACCACTACTGCCACAACGATGATGATGATGAGCAGCACCAGCGAAACTCCGAGGCAAATCCCTGCCGAGGTTAGTCGTCGTCAGAAATGCCCGCGTCTGTTTGACTCACAAAGCTTCTTCCGCTTCGGCAAGGGCTGTGGGGGATCTACGATCAAGTGCTCCTTCTCGAAGCTGTGGTCAGAACTGCTCCATCCGCCGCCTCGCAAGTGACCGCGCGAGCGTCCCTCCTCCATCACAGCGCCGCTGACCACCCGTCTCTTGTTGCCCTTGTGATCTCTCCTTGGCTTTTCGTAAACCACTTCTCTGTCCTGCTCCCGCTCCGCCCTCCTCGGGCGCTCCCGCGGCGCATCTCTGTACTGTTGTTCGCGCCGTGCCCTTCTCCTCTCTGCTCGTTCTGCCGCCCTCTCTGCGTCCCTCTCTGTATTCCTTGTGCCGTCCGCACGCGACTCCCTTCTCTTTTTTCTCTTCGTGTTATCGCGGTTGAGTGCCGCCAGCGCATCAGCAGACAGTGCTTGCGACCTTCTCTCGTCCCTGCTCTCTCCCGAGTCTGTGGTTGGCCGTCTGGATCCTTGCCCGTGCGATCGTCGTTTCTTGTGATGATGCTTCCTGCCCGATGAGTCTCGTGGCCGATGCGACGACGGGCGGGAAGATTCACCGGGCGACATTTTCGTCGATGGTTTGTCCGTGAAAGTGCTAGTCGCCGATGCACTGGAATGTTCTGGGTTCAACCGACATTCCAGACGTGAATACGTACGTGTGGTGACGCCAAGGGTAAATCGAATCCAATTCCCTGTTTTGGAGGTGCATTGACAGCTCGGCAGTTGGCAGGGCAACAATCGATGGATCGATCCCGTCTTATCAGGGCGTAAAGTGTCTACAAGGGTCTGTGGGAACCAAGGGCCGCTTCAACCCCGCGAACGCCGGCGCAAGCCGAGCTTGACTTACATCACCCGCCATCCCTCGGTTTAGGACGAGAGAGTCCCCTCGTCGAGCCGGCCGTCCTCAATCCCTTCATCTCTAGTCCCTCTCCAAATCCAAGAATTGACTCCTCGCAACACTTCCTTTGGCTCTCTCAATAATTCACAATGAGATCATCTATCTCAATACGTCCATTGCGGCGAGCGCTGGCGCCGTCAGCCTCGATACAGCTTCCCCTCGCCGTCTCTCGGCTTTACTCGACACACCCACCGAAAGCGAAGCTCAACATTCCCGTCGACTACGCGACGACCTCGCTACTCGCACACTCCTCCCAGACGGCCCTCAGCACAGCAGAGCTCCCGAAGGAGGTGCGAAATGGCACGACAAAGAAGATGAACCTGTTCCAAGCCATCAACGACGCCCTCTCAATTGCGTTGGCGGAGGATGACTCTGTCATGGTGTTTGGCGAAGACGTAGCCTTTGGTGGTGTCTTCAGGTGCACGATGAAGCTGGCCGAGACGTACGGTGCTGATCGGATCTTCAATACACCTCTCACAGAACAAGGCATCATGGGATTCGCCATTGGAGCGGCGGCGGAGGGTATGCGGCCAGTCGCGGAGATCCAGTTTGCCGACTACGTCTACCCGGCATTCGACCAACTGGTCAACGAGGCGGCCAAGTACCGGTATAGAGACGGAGCGTGTGGTCGCAGCGTGGGCGGACTGACTGTGCGAATGCCTTGCGGCGGCGTCGGCCACGGCGCCCTATACCACTCTCAGTCACCCGAGAGTCTGTTCACTCACATTCCTGGCTTGCGAGTGATCATGCCCAGATCTCCTCTTCAGGCCAAGGGTCTATTGCTAGCAGCCATCCGCAGCAACGACCCCTGCATCTTCATGGAGCCCAAGATCCTGTACAGAGCTGCCGTTGAACAGGTTCCAGCGGGGGCGTATACGCTGCCTCTGTCCAAGGCGGAAGTCCTCAAGGAAGGCAAGGATGTCACAATCATCTCATATGGACAGCCTCTGTACACGTGCATGTCGGCCATTCAGCGAGCCGAGGAAGACTTGGGCATCTCTGTCGAGCTCATCGATCTGAGGACACTGTACCCTTGGGATAAGGAGACGGTGTTCCAGAGTGTGCGTAAGACTGGCCACTGCGTTGTGGTGCACGAGGCCATGGTAAATGCTGGTATCGGAGCCGAAGTTGCTGCCACCATTCAAGAGGACCCTGACACGTTTCTGAGACTGGAAGCGCCCGTTGCGAGGGTTGCGGGATGGAGCATTCACACCCCGTTGTTATACGAGAGGTTCAACATTCCGGATGTAGCAAGTAAGTCTGACCCTGCCCTATTCGTAACATCGAGCAATGCTGACTTGCCTAGGGGTCTACGACAACATCAAAAGAGTGCTGGACTATTGAGGCGATGGCTGAGGGATGGGGAGATTCTAGAATGTGGAAGGGCAGGTGCCAAGATGTAGTACATACTCATGATGAAAAACGCGAGCTGTCTTCGGATATATGAGTTCAGCAGAATCGCAAAATGTGGATGCAATTGTAGCGATGGAAGCCATATTATTTGGGTAGCGTAACGATGAGAAAGTACCTTGTGTGCCCCTCCTCCTTCCGCGTGAATGGGGGTTTAGCGCTAACAATTTAGCCCCCTTTCCTAGCCAATCCGTCGTCTCCGGTCCCGCCTCCAATTGCCCCGCATTACGTTTCAACGTCAGGAGCAGCAGCAGCAGCTCGACATAGCAGCCGCATCACCGCCATACAACGTCCAACCTCCAGCTTGCACGACCTCCCGAGCCTTTTTTCAGTGCAGAAGATCCGCAATGTCCCAAGTCGAGACCGTCTCCTCCTTCGTGGAGGGAGCCCCCCCTGGCGAGGTTCGTCCACTACTCCCTAACCGCACAGCTGCAAACCAGGCTAACCCGATTAAAGCTCGCAGATGTTATCGCAGGTAATGCCATGCGCTCCGCACGCCATTCCTAAGAGGATTCCAGGCTCGAAAGATACTAATACGACAAAGACATCAAGTCGCTCACTGTTTCGGATCCCGATATTGTCTCCAGCCTCGAGCCGGCGTTTGAGAAGTACAACGAGGAGCAGTTCGCTACGGTGAAGCTGCCGGGCGGAAGCCAGCAGGTCAGTTCGAAACGGCGGTCAGAATACATTGGATGTTAATAAGATGGTGCAGGTCATCATAAGCTCCTACAGCTCGCTCGGTGACGGTCAGTACTTTGACGTCGAGAGCTCGACGAGCTTCTCCTTCGACCACAGCACACAGAAGGCCAGCAATGTGCAAAGCTACGTGCTGGATAGCGCGAATGCGGACTTGATGTAGGTTGAACAGGCCGGATGGAATGGTCATGGCGCTAAGAGCTTTGCAGCAAGTCGACATTGAAGAGTCTTGGTCCCTATGTCCAGGAGCACTTCCCTAATGCCGCGTATGGCGTCTACCCAACTGCGAACGATACCCAGGTAGCAGTCATCGTTGTCTCGAACAAATACTCTCCCAATAACTTCTGGTACGGGTGTCTAAATCAGCATTGCCGTTTAATATCAGTACTGACAGTGTCCAGGAACGGTCGTTGGCGGTCTCTCTACATCTTCGACCCCTCTTCCTCGAGCCTCGAGGGCTCCGTAAAGGTTGACGTGCACTACTACGAGGATGGCAACGTCCGGCTTCTCACCAACCGTCCCTCACAGGCGTCGGTCTCGTCGGGCACGGGCGCCGGCATCGTCAAGGAGATCTCGACGTCGGAGAAGAAGTACCAGGAGGAGCTGAACAGGGGATTCACAAGCCTAAGCGAGGGCGCGTTCAAGGGCCTGAGACGGCAGCTGCCCGTGACGAGACAGAAGATCGAGTGGGACAAGATCACCTCGTACAGGTTGGGCCAGGACATTGGCGGCGGCGCGAGACGATGAGCCGGGAACGTGTGCAGCTTTTCCCGGAAGGGTTACGGTTGGGACGGTGCTCTTTTGCGCATTCAGCATACAGGCTAGAAATGGTTAAAAGCTTTTTTAAACATACGAGGGCAGTACACTGGTTCGTGTTCACGATGATGACCGAGGCGCATTCCTCAGCCTCAGACTCAGCCTCGTCGAACGAATACGTTACATTGTCTAATGTCACTGCCGGAGGAATACAGCAGCTCCGAAGACTGGCAAGAATTACCCGTTCAGGCAGTGTGACGCGAACGGTTATCGTCAGCGTTGGCTGTTAGCCATGGGGAACGGGATCTCTACCCCGCGCGTTCCCCGCCTTCCGCTTTCTACGGAACTGACATGACAGATGCCGAGACCGCCCGGAGTGCCTTCGGAATCATTTGGAGGTTCTAATAGGTAGGAGGTACTGCCCTATGGAGACGATAGATGTGCTAGTTGTACGCCTTGATGCATGCGGTTCAGGTTGGAGCAGGCTGTGGCATCCGGTAGCCGGGTTTATATTCGCATTTGAGAAGCAGGATTGAGATTCATGCCGTTGTAGAGTCCGGAACCCTCGGGTTCACTAAAGCCTCGGCGGGCGGCGGGGAGATAAGACAAACTCCGAAACGATGGCATGCATGTGTAGACGGGAAGGCGGGACAGCGGCAGACACGGGCATTAGTCAAGGATGATGCTGTTCCCGCCTCTGAATCCCAGCGGGATTAGGACAAGATAAGCCAGCCGTTGCAGCTGCAGCGGTGGGCTCAGCGAGGTCGCAGCCGGGGTTGCTGACAAGTTCACACCGAGCCCGGCGATTGGCGGGTCGTTAAGGATACGAACACGAAAAAGCCAAAAAAACCCTAAATAATTAGCTATGCAAGAGACAACAGTAGCAAGGAATAGCTGCAGCGAACAATGACCGCCCGCCCCAGCCACAGACCGTCAGCACCCGGACACCGACGGTATTCCGGCCGTTGGAGGCACGAGGGGAGGGGGCGGCTAATCAGTTTCGAAACAAGCCAAGTTGTCTTTGTGCACTGCGGGAGCTTAGGGCGCGATAAAAGCGATCTTGCAACGCGAAACCTACACCTCACTCGGGGGCCTTGCGTTCTTATGAATGGGTGACATGGTTCTCTCTGCAGGTTAACATAGCTATGCCATACTGGCGGCGCAAGTTGTCGTCTGTCTTGAGTGGAAGAAGGATACCGATACGGACGGTACGGACGGTACGGAGACCAGATATTCTCCTTTCCCGTCCAAGTCCAAGGGACAGCGTAGTAGTGACACTCCCAGCTAGGATGGCCTTCTCCCACCTCTAATCTATTGCCTTGCAAAAAATCCGCAGCTTCTTTCCCCCAAAGCACCCACCCATACATCCGGCGAATCAGGGCAACTGTGCACTAATATGCGAGTGCCTGATTGGCTCAGATTTTACCCCTGCGCGGACCTTTCCCCCTCCCCAAGCTGCACAGATTGTGTCCACAGTCCACAGCGGAAGCTTTTCTCAGCTGTCAGTCGCCAGGTAGTAGTAGTAGTAGTAGTACAGTGCAGTCCAGTGCACCTTCCCCAATTTTCCTGGGGTCCGTGATAAAGTGTGAGTGTTCAATGGGCTCAACACCCGAGCGACCTCCTTCTCGTTGAATTCCCTCTTGCACCACCTCACTCCCCTTGTAGCCAATTTCGCCAAAGGAAAAAGTCTCTGCCGTTAACAACCTCCCCTTCGAAGCACTTCACAACTTTCTCTTTGCACAAACCACACCTCAAATCCACCACTGCATTCACGCCAAACCGCAACCTCAACAAACCTGTAAACAAAAAACAAAAGGAGAAAACCTAAGCAGTTTTTGAAATCTGTCATAATGGGCGTCAAACTTACCTACCAGGATGTTGCTGAGCACAACACCAAGAAGGACCTCTACATGGTGATCCACGACAAGGTCTACAACGTTACCAAGTTTGTCGATGAGCACCCGTAAGTGTTGCCTCGCCTTGCCTTGCCTTGCCTTGCTGGCCTGCGCGGCTTTGCGCTGCGCTGTGCCTCCACTCGGCTTTCCCCAGGCCCTCCTCAACATTGTAACCTCGGACTGACTTTTGTCTTTGCGCACAGCGGTGGCGAGGAGGTTCTTCTCGATGTCGGCGGTCAGGATGCCACCGAGGCATTCGAGGATGTTGGCCACAGCGACGAGGCCCGCGAGACCCTGGAGCAGCTGCACGTCGGTGAGCTGAAGCGCCAGGTGAGTTCCCACGCAGCAGCAACAAAAACAACAACGGACCCCACCCCCTTCTCTACACAATGGCGCATCGCATCACAACCGCATACCTCAACTGGATAAGGAATAAGCCATGCTAACCTTTCCATTTTTCTCTCCTTGCAGCCCGGAGACCCTGCCCCTAAGAAGCAGGCCGCCGCCGCCGCCACCAGCTCAGCCAGCAGCACCGAGAGCGGCGGCTTCGGCATTGGCCTGTACGCCGTCCTCCTCATCGGCGGTATCCTCGCCTACGTCGGCTACCAGTACCAGCAGCAGCAGCAGCAGACCTCCGCATAAAGTGCCAGCCATTGCTATGTTTTACGTTTCAAACCACGCCGAGGGTTCAACTCGAGTCGCCTGCTGCTAAAAGGGGGAGATTTCAAGCGGGTGCACGCACGTCGTCCGCGAGTGGATGGTAAACCGCTGCCTTCAACGAACAGGGTGCCTGCCAGAGAGGAGTCTTTACGAAATCCCCTTACGTCAGTTGGGGCTCACGATGTCTGAAAGAGGGTGTGTTATGAGCTGGCGCAGACGGACGTTGCAAGAAGCCTTTTGATTTCAATTCAGCGGCAAGGGATCTGGCTGGTCAACTTATGGCCGAGCCGAATCCGCCAAGGGAAGATATGCCTGTAATAGAATTTGCGTTCTGGTCATGGTTTTTTTGTCGGATTCTGTTTTACATATACCGGTAGCAGACAGCGCGATGCTGCACAAATGGCAAAGCAAATGTCTTGAATGTCGACTGGATCTTGTCTTGACTCGGGCGTGGTGAATGGATGGTCAAACCGCCTTCCTCTGCCAGCATCACTCTGCGTGGAAGCAATTGGTTCCTCAAATGCCGGAAATCCCTCTCTCAATAGTGGAGATTACTCTTACAAGCGTGCTCATTGGCGGTGAATTCGTCGTATCGTAACAACTCGGAGGCTTTCACCTCGGTCAACCCGCGCTCCCACCAACAACCCACCTCGGAATATTTGAGAGCGGAATCGGGGTGGCTCCAGATGCCGAGCCAACCAATCGATGTGTGGCTGAGGCAAGCCGCCAGCCTCGTCCGTGCGCCACAATAAGGAACGTCGAGTTTCCACAGAATTGAATCAGCAAGCATCCTACCATCCAACGATCGACAAAGAAGCCTTCCTTTTCACCTCCCAACGCAGGCTGCCATATCACAGCGAAATCCCGCAAGCCGACCGTAAACATACTTACGCCGAATATACGGGTGTCTGCAGCTGGCTGTTCGGGGCAAGGACTGGTCGAGTCGTAGAGATACGGGCGAAATCGATCCGAGCGACCGACCACGAGGGTGACTGAAGCTGGAAAGCTTCAAGCTTCAGGTCTGGAGATCGCGACACCCAAACGCAGCGCAGACGGCAGGCTTGACTAAATAATATAAACCACGATCATTACAGGAGTGGCTGCTCCAGCACGATCGGCACGTCTGGCTGCGCCTGCGAATCAAGAAGTTGCCATTTGGAGGACCTGGTCTCCTACCTTCGCAACGTCGCGGACAGCGCTGGAAGGGACAATTCAGCTTGCGCAAGACATTCGTACCCTCGAAGCCATTTCGTTCTTTCGGCTAGTGATTGATTAAACACGGTCGGCAAGACTAATCTGCGACGCCGTGGAAGGTTCTCGGCTTAGTCGAGACGGACCGGTCCACTCCTACTATCCTCTGCGTGGAGCCATATCGAAAGCGTAACATCATCACATCATTATCCTGGACGCCCGCGACACCATCAATTCGAACGTCTTGACATCACACATAACCCATCATGTCTTCTCTTCTTGAGAAGCAAAAAGCGGCCTTCAGCAGCTCGCTCGCCTCGGCAGCGAGCAAGCTGACGTCCAAAAACCAATCGCTCGCACCGCCGTCGCCGTCTCCATCGGTCGGCAGTTCCAAAAATGAGACAACGGCACCGGGAAAGCGCAAACGCGACCCCAACGCGATCGTCTACTCCCAGCCGCAAAACACCAGCTTTGGTCAGGAGGTGTTCACCCAGATGCAGTATGCCCTCGAGTGGCTGAAGGGCAAGGATGATGCCAAGACGGCCACCGAAATCTTTGACCACCTGGGCCAGACCCGCAGCACAGACAAGCACAAGCAACAGCTTGTTGAGGCCATGCGCCGCCATCCCCGCATCCAGTGGATTCCTGACCCCAAGCTCTCGGAGCAGACGTGGAGGACAGGCACGTACATCCACCGTCCCATCATCCCCGGCGTCCGAGACAAAATCTCGCTTCTACGCCACCTACAGAGCAAGAAAGATGCTGAGGGCACCTCAGTGAAGGACCTCAAGGACGGCTGGCCGGACTGCGATCAGGCGCTGATGGAGCTTGAACGCGAGCACAAGATCCTCATCGTCAAGACCAAGAAAGAGCAGCACCCCCGCGCTATCTGGCTCGATGACGCCTCGCTCCACCACCAGGTTGACGACGAGTTCAAGCGCATGTGGAATGCCGTCGAGGTGCCCACCACGGATGACATTGTGAAAAAGCTCGTCTCCGTCGGGCAGAAGCCCGCCAGCGCCGACCCCAGCACCATCAAGAAGGTCGACTCCAAGAAGCAGCAGAAGAAGCGTGCCGTGCGGCGGACCGGCAAGACGACGAACACTCACATGGAGCACCTGCTCAAGGACTACAGTCACATGGTCAAGCGATAGACAAGATGGTGCTTGTCTCCATTCGAATTTTGTACCGAGACTTTGCATTCAGAGGCGTTCATGGACCGGGAGGGTAGGCTTCATTGGCGAGACTGGCAGGGGTTTTCCGCTCTTTTGCTCAAGATTATATAGATGAGCACACAAAGGGCTTTGTTACGGTCAGCGGAGGGAATAGGGTTCTCAATGATGTGACCGAATAGAGAGTAAAAAGGACACTAAAATGCAACCAATGACCAAGTTCTGACGCTCTGCTATGAATGATATCCCGATACTGCAATGCTGCTGACTCGACCAGGGTACAACGGAAACCATGCCCTCTTCTGTAGTTAATAGCGGGAGTCCCTGCCTTGCAAGCTACTCCTCCTCGATACGCTCAAACACCCTCAGAAAGACGTCCGGCTCCTGGCTCCCGCCCACCCTCCACCGCCCCTGGACCGTGAATGTCGGCACCCCGGTGATGCCGGCCCTCCTTGCCTCCACCACGGCCTCGTCGACAGCCTCGCCGAAGCGGTCGTCTTCCAGGGCGGCCTCGGCCTCGTCCGGGTCGAGCCCCACGGCAGCGGACGTCACAGCGGCGAGCAGGTACCGCCTGTCCGAGAGGTCGGCGCCCTCCTCGAAGTGGCCCCGGAAGAGGGCCTCGAGCAGACGATTCTGGGCGTCCGCGCCGCGGCGCGTGAGGGTGAGAGCGAGGAGCTTGTGGGCCTGGCGCGAGTTGCCGGTGGTGCCGGCGAGGGTGAGGGCGATGCCGGCGCGGGCGCTGGCGGACGTGACGCGGGCGAAGGCCTCGGCAGGGTCGGCGGCGGTCACGGCGAGGCGGGCTCTGTAGATTGTGATCTTGTCGTAGCCTTTTTCGGGGGTGACGGGTTTCTGGTTTTAGCGGTTTGTGTGCGGTGTTGGATGGAGAGACGGAAGGGAAGGGAGGGTGGATGAGATTGGTGACGAGGGGAAGAGAAACCGGAGGGGTATACGAACCAGAGTTCTTCAAATCAGGATTCAGGTAGAAAGGCTTCCAGATGACCTCGAACTCGGCCGAGGGCACCAAGGCGCGATATTGTGAGATGGCGTGGTCAAGGTTCCTCTTGCCTATGTAGCACCATGGGCATATCAGGTCCGTGACGGCCTCAATCTTGATGACCGTCATTCCTTGGGTGCCCTCTGGCTCCTTTTGAAAGTCTTTCGAGGGAGTGAGTGGTGGGGGAGGAAGTGTGTGTACGGTTGAGTCGTCGACCACTGCATCAGTCTTCGGAAGAAAGGAGGAAACAAAGGCCGCGAGGATGTGGACGAGCGCAATAAAAGATCGAGCGAGACTTATACAGAGATGCTGCGCCTTGGTTTCTTCCTTAGCCCGTCCCAGTGTGGAATACAGAGTATACAAACCTCGCGCCACCAAATGGTGTAAGTGACCGGGGGGGTGTGGGGCGACTGGTCACACTCACTCTGCGGGTTTGCTAGGAGATACGACCGAACGTCAAAAGGCAAGCTGCGGCCGGCTCTGCTTACGAGACTCTGACCGAGCCACTCGAGCTGTTCGCTCGACGGGGAAAAGATGGCAGGGAAAGCTGGAGAGCGAGGACGGCACATACACTCACTCAACCACGACCGGGGGAAGAGACCAAAGCGGGCCGGAATACTAATCGACCCCAGAGGAGGAGACCTTTGGGATAAAGCTAACCAGTACCCGCGCTTCCTCGGCCCTCGCAAGACACGGACACGAACATATGAATGAGAAGCAAAACGCATACATACATAACGAAGTCCCGCCGCAACGTTTTACTACTAATCCAGAGCGAAACCGACAAGTAAACGGAACCTAGGGACGAGGTTGTTTTTCTGTGCAACCGGGGGGACCAACTCAACTCACTGACCATTCGACTCGCCGTTTCCTTGCTGCTTCCTTGCTTGCATGCTTCTCCTTCACCAACACGCGCACTGCCACTTTCCAGAACGCCATTTCAATCTCCTGCCGACTGTTTTTCTCTTCCTTTTCCATCTCATTTTCTTTTTCTAAATTTTTTTTCCTTTTCTTCACCGTGGTAGCGAAACCGGCAAAAGCTGTATACATAGCAAGCGCACACAAGGACGCTCAGCGGGCTTACTGATCATTGCCCAAAAGCACGAGAGGCACAGACATTGCTCCCCCTTCTCCACCCAAATCAGTGACGTCCATTTTCTGATTATCTCATCAACCCGATCCCTTTCACCCTTAACCGAACAAGAAGAAGGGGCAAATATTGAAAAAGAGCAATAAAATGAATTCTGTATCGAGCCTCGGCGAATGTACTCCTTGGAAACATTTACCCGCCTGTTTGGCTTGACTGTAATTTTTAGTTCCCTTCTCCATTGACTTTTTCCCAAGTCCTAGTCAATATTTCTGCCCGCCAGTCCCATGCTTCTTCCTTGCGACCCTACGGTTTGCTCTCTGCACAGAGCTTTTCCCTACCAAAGTCGGAGCAGAAAGCCTTGCACCTCTCTTGTGGCTCTTGTGGGTGAAACATGGTCTAAACCACGCTGCCCGTACTCAGGATTTGCCAGTGATGAATGACTTTGTTTGGGTCGTTAACCTGACTTGTGTTCACAGCTGTGTTGCTGAGCGCTCGCTCGCTTGACCTGACCTGACCTGGCTTTGCCTCAATTTCCCTTTCCTTTCCTTTTCCTCATTATATATCATTCGTGACCAGTGTGCTGGACTGCTCTCCATGAGGTATTTTTTTCACCGGGTTCAATCGTAGCGGGGATCGCTATCCCCGGATCGCCCATTGGCAGGATCTAGATCTCGCCTCCACAGATGCACGGCGCACATGGCATGGCGCTTCACACAGACCATCGTGAGGTCGACCCTCAAGCTTACCCGGTCAACTCCACCAACAAGGCTACATGGTGCATAAGCCAACATTCCAATGTGTCATGAGAGAACAAAAGATAGCTACGAGCTTTCATTGTCTAGTACAGATTTGCATACAGAATTCCGCAACAAAAAGTCAAATTCCTTTACCGAGTGAGTCTCAACCAAAACCGTCGGTGTGCTGCTCCAAAGCAGTCGTCGTTTCCTATCTGGAAACTCCTCCCAACCCTTTTACCTCCAGCCTATGCCCATGGAGACCCAGTCATCATGAAGTGTGCTTTCCGCCAGTCTATGGAAACAAAAGAAACGGCGTTTGTGTGAAAACGAACCAGATGGCTGCCCACCCCTTTGGTATATTCCTGCCCTTGTCCCAGTGCAGCCCGCAGTATTAAAGGTGTATTTATTTATCATCCCCAACCTTGCCATGCGAGAACTTTTCGTAACTGATAAAAAGACGGAATGAACGCGTCAAGGGAAAGTGCTGAGCCGTCAGCTGCCCTCTATACCTGAAAGCTTATGCAGGGCGCACCTTCGGCAATACTGATACAAGGGCTCGCATTAGTGAGCACCCGCCCACAGCTCGCTCTGGCGACCCTTAATGTCATAAGCACCGGCAGGAGGTTCGGTGCTCTGGGGTCGGCGGACCTGTCCTGGGTTACCGTAAAACATTTGTCCACTGAGTGAGGGGGCAGCAGGGTATGCGTCGGGGTCAGGATAGGTGTAACCGCCACCGTTGCTGCTGTGCGAAGGAGAGGCGACATGCGACGGGGACTGCCAGCCGACATTGCTCATGTGAGGGCTGCCGCCGGCGCTGCCAGGACCTGAGTGCTGCTCGACACTCGGCTCCAGCGTGGGAGGCGGTCCGTAGCTGGTGGGATGCGAGGTGGGCCTCATGCCGGTGTTGTAACCGCCCGAGGTTGTGGACGCAGGGCTACCCACGTGCATGTCTCGCTGGAGATGGACAGGAAGCGAGCTGTTGCCCATGTACTGAAACTCCGAGTTGGTACGGTGCATGCCGTCGGCACTAGGCGACATCGAAAGGGTTCGCTGGCCAGGAGAAGGCGTGGTCAGCGGTGAGCCACGGTTGGAAACAGCATCTCCATCGGAGCGGGTCGCATTCGGCTTAGCGGTTGCTCCACGAGCAGCGAGGGCGGCGGCAGTTGCAGCAGCCGCCTCCTCAACCGTGCCGGTATGATGGTTTTGATGTCTCGTCAGAGTGGTGCGGCGAGTGAAGGTCTTCTGACAATCGGCGTAAGGACATTTGTAGGGACGCTTGCCAGAGTGGATTCGACGATGGCGTGCCAGGGAACTACTGTCGCTGAATGGCTGAAGAAGAAAGGAAAAGTCAGCACGGGAGCCTCCATAGTCTTCCTCGAGTCTCGACATACCTTGCCGCAGCGTTCACACATGTGAGGCTTCTCTCCCGTGTGAACTCGCTGATGAACAGTGAGGGCAGAACGCTGGATGAATTGCTTGCCACAGTTGGGGAAATCGCAGACGTGCGGGCGAATACCGCTATGAATACGTTCTAGCACCATGTCAGTAACGAAATCAAACCAAACCTGATGCTTTGACACATACCGTGGCGGGCGAGATCACTGCGTCGGGCAAAGCCCTTGCCGCAAGTACTGCACGGGTAGGCCTTCGTGGGCTGCTGAGGCGCCTGCTGGTCAGGAACCTTGTACTGAGGCATGCCTTGGGACATGTCGTGCTGAGGGATGCCGGGCAGGATCACGGGGCCGGGTCCCATGTGGGAGACAGGCACCTGCATCTGCATTGGGGCGCCAACCATGGCGCTGGGGGACGGGTAGGAACGCGGAACGCCTTCCATGGTGTGACGAGAGTATTGAGAGTGTTCAGAGCCGTGAGGGGAGCCTGCGCGGTCCATGGGCGGTTCGGGCATGTTTCTCGCAGTGAGCTGAGGGAGTTGGTGCATCTGACGTTCAGGGGTTGATCCGTTGTGGAGGGAAGCGTGTTGTTGCATAGCGGCACTTCTTTGATTCATTAAGTTGCCAATGTCCATTACCTCGCCCGGAGCTGGCGACCTCATATTACGGCGGAGGAAATCGCTAGCAATTGTCGGGATTCCTGCGTGGATAGCCAGCTTGCAGGATTCTTTCAGACGATATTCCGCGTCAGACGAAGGTGACTTTGAGTTTATAAGGACTTGGCTACCTGGGAGAAAGTTAGTTTATTGATGTTCCGAAAGGGCGAAGGGTATGAATAAGGGATCTGGAGGAGGGCCAATCTGACGGGGGATGCACGTTGCCACGAGTAGGGAGTGTTTGGGTAAGCTCTGAGGAGCAGAGTTACGGAGGGGGGTGGATGACGGGGATGGCCCAGCACAGGCTTGAGCATGACTAGATGTGCCAGGAGCACCTGGTGGCGGGTCCTTTGAATCAGAACTGATGGATTTCCCTGGCAGGCTTACCTAGTGCGGACGTTGCAATGAAATCCGGGACAGACCGACCACAGAACACGCACCAGTATGTTGCTCGTTCTCGCCGTTCAAGTAGTCGCCGGAGTTGAGCTCAACGTCGGTCGTGGCAACGATGCCGATGAGATGGCGAATGTATTGGGTCGTAGGAAGCTTCCGCGAAACCTCGTCCGGATGGTTGTTTTGTTGATGCTCGGTATATATAGAGCTACTGTGTCGTCACGACTCTAGGGTCTGACGTGGCGCGAAAACTCGAGTTCTCGTCGGAGGAGGCACAGTCAGCCCACCAAATATGGGTCGATGAGCGTCAAGGGGTATTGTCGGCGCGCAGAGAACTCGTTTTGTGCCGTTGGAGGGCGATGGAATCTCGTTCGGATATAGGATATAGAACCGGGACCGGACGGAAAAGGGGAGGGAGTGTGTGGGTGATGAGGGTCAAAGGCTGGAGTGACCTATACGACGCGCCTCGGGTTAGTGTTGGTCGAGATGGAATGCAACAATACAAGGTTGAGGAGAAGAAGCGATGAAGTATGCACTTGAGGGTTTGCAGCGACGGAGGAAAGGGTGAGGCAGGATAAAGGAAGAAAAGCTGGTGCCTCCGGACCGAGGGCTCAATCAGGTCGAGAGAGAGAGAGAGAGAGAGAGTGTTTGTCAAAGTTCGCGTGTGCTGAGGTCTCGGACAAGATGAGGTAACAGGGGGCCAAGAAACCTTGATCGGGGGTGCAGATGGCCCGGCAGGGTTAGGAGAGGGAAGGTGGGTCTACGAGGAAAACAACGAAAAAAAAAGCTGAGGCAAGCCGGCAGACGTGACCAAGGCGCTGGACAGCCCCGGACGCGAAGACAGGGCAGCCACAGAAGCAGCCGGCAAACAAGGTCCGGTACGTATCCTGCTAAGGTAGGGAACAAGCGGGTGCGGGTGCCAGGAACGAGCCCAGTCAACAGTCAACAATCGTCGTCGACGTCCACCACAGCCACCCGCAGAGAGTAGTAACAAGTAGGCGCGTCTCTGATGGGTGTTGGGGAAAGAAAAACGACTTCTGGTATCGGCCCCGTCTTCGATTTGGACTCGACCTGGGAAAAAGAGAAGGGGCAGATATGGAATAGGGAATAGGGAAGGGGCAGTAAGAAAGGGGTGTCAAGGGAATGTGACATCAATGTAGAACAGGTTGCAACTTACTTGATCCGAAAGGGGAGTGAAAGAGAAAGAGAGGAGTCTGGCTGGAATGAATACCTCGATATCGGGTAGTTGTTGTTTGTCTCGGGGTTCGGTGTCGGGATTGCAATTGCGTCGTCGTCAAATTGCGAGGAGAAGGGTGGAAAAGTAAGGGAAAAAGAAAAATGCAGGTGACATGAGTTTTGTCGCTACTGCAGAGGGAGCGTTTGAATATGTATGGAGGAAGTTGAGACCTCTTTTGGGAAGAGGGCGTAGGGTCCGGGGCCTTGGCTCGTATGTGGTGTCATGCAAGGTATGGAAAGAGCAAGGGGAAGGGGAAAGAAGCTGTGACGCAGTAGGCGGAGCGCAGGGACAGACGGACGGGGCTCGGCAGGTGTTATAAAAATGTCAACCACGGAGACGATCCTTTTAGTGAGGCCGGGGGGATGGAAGAAAGGAAGGAATAATGGAAGGAGGGGGGGGGGCGTCTGGAGAAGAAGGGGGTCCCAGAGCGTTGCTGTATCCGTAAAGCTGCGGTCTGTCGTGAGAATCGATCAGAAGAGGGAGGTACGGACAAGGAAGCCAAAAGAGATTGGTTGTCCTTATGAATTGAACAGATATGTATAGACAGAGAATAGTCTACGGAGATGAAGAGACTGTGAGCAAGAGAAGAGGACGGACAACCCAGGATATGAATGCATTTCCATGTCAAGATGAAGCAGTTTGGTCTATTGCATACACACACACACACACACACACATACACACTGCAATGGTACATGAACATACACCACGCATATATCACACTGACTTGCGCACATACACACACACTCGTACTACCGCAAAGTACCTTCCTCGCAATACCAATGCGAGAGGTACACACGTCAGGTGTCTGTAGTTGTAGCCCAGACCAGAGCGCGCGCGCACCCTCCCCCAAGTTAGGTCAAGTGAGAGGTTCCAAGTGTGGAAGCTTGGTGAATTGAAACGAACGGCTTAGCTGCTGGGACAATCGGGGGGAGGGGGGGGGGGGCATTCACACTGAAGCAGGAACGAACGGGGGTAATGGGACTTAGGCAGGGAAGGGAAGGGAAGGGAAGGGCAGGACAGGACAGGACAGGGCAGGGCAGGTACATGGGTACATGGACATGGGTACATGGGTACACGGATACATTGACGAGGCATACCTACCTATTTGTCTGCCACGTCGACCTTACCTTCTCGGACGCATGGAAGGAGGTACTCGAGCACCGGGGTGCGTGCCTCCCCTTCCCGTCTATGCCTCCTTACTCAACCCGGGTTCTTTCTTCTGTTCTGTTCCTCTCTCTGCTCTGGGCTCCTCCGTCTCCCTCGTCCGCTCCTCTCTGCCACGCCCACATGACATGCATCCCTCCCCCGTTGTCCCTCAGGCAGACATGCTGGCTGCCGCCTGAGTCTACAGACAAGCTGATAGTGCCCCCCCCCTGACAACCCGAGAGTACCGTGCACAATAACCGATAGGGGCCCGTGCAGAGTTGAGCTGACAGTGGAGTAGGTGATAAGGTTTAAACCAATAGATACACATACACAGGTCAAAAGGGTCTATAGGTCTAGATAAATCAGGAATTTTCGTTCATCTCGCTCCACATAGTCTAGCAGTAAGTAGTGCTCCTAATAATAATCTAAAGGCTCTAGGTTCAATCCTAGCTTTTTCTGACTTTTTCTGACTTTTTCTTTAGGTAATTCTAAAACGGCTCCGCCGGGGAGGGTTGGAATGGTCTATCCCACCCTGCTTCCTCCGCGACGCTCCGGGTCGGGATGGGCCAAGACCTAGTGGCTGCTGATAAGGAATTATACGTAATTCTGTATTTATCTACTGTATTTGCAACTAGTAGTGTAGTCATATCCGGTCACGCTCTGTTAACGGATGCACACGATCCCCGGCACCCTCGCCCCTAGGAAGGTCATCTGGTCAAGCTGCACACAGATGTCAAGATAATTACTGGATTGCCGACCCTACCGTTACTAAACACGGGGCGGAATAGCATCCCCCCAACGGTGTCGTAAACCGTCCTGTTCTTACCTCCCTGCAATCCCTTTTTTTCCCTCTGTTTTTTTCCCTCTGTTTTTTTCCCTCTGTTTTTTTCCCTCTGTTTTTTTCCCTCTGTTTTTTTCCCTCTGTTTTTTTCCCTCTGTTTTTTTCCCTCTGTTTTTTTCCCTCTGTTTTTTTCCCTCTGTTTTTTTCCCTCTGTTTTTTTCCCTCTGTTTCCACTTTTTCCCTTTATCTATACCCTTATCTATTGGCTATAACTGTATCCACTGTCAGCTCAACTCTGCACGGGCCCCTATCGGTTATCGTGCACGGTACTCTCGGGTTGTCAGGGGGGGGGCATTATCAGCTTGTCGGATGGCTCCTGCCGCCTGCCATACTTGTATGGAACACCTACCAGCGGCTTCGCGTGCTGTGCTGCATACAGTGCGGACAGTATGGATGACGATAATATGGTGTGCTTAGTTTCTCTTGGAAGGGGCGGCGGCCTTCACTCAGGGCTCTCTTGCCTTCCCTGTCACTGCCTGCTCCGTCCTGCTAGGCCTACCTACAGGTAGGTACTCACTAGGGGTGTACAGGTACTAAACCTGGAGTCAGTAATGATCGCCTCTGCCGTCGCCGCTCAGGGGTTGGGACCACCTTGCAAGCTTGACATGAAGCTGGTGGTGCTGGCCTCCCCAGACGGCTGTGTTGTGCAGCCAATGCTGTTCGTACATGCGCCTTCCAGTGATCACGTCCAACCATGACAAGAACTTGAGCCTCATCAAGACTCGGCCATCATCATCACCCATCATCACCAGAACATTGTCCTCTGCACGGCCCCTTGCCTAACCTTCGCTCACATCCTCTACCCATGTAGCTACGCCCTGCCATGCTTCTTGTATCTTGATAGGTACCGGTACCTGCCACATCCCTTGCTTTCTTTTATTTTCCCAGAGCCCCACGGTTGATGATACTTCTAGGTTCGAGAGTTGTCTTGACAAGCGGTGGTTTGCCAGGCGTCGATGAACTACCACCATTACCTCCTCCTCCTCCTCCTCCTCCTCCACGGGCACTCCGACAAAATGACACTGGCCAAACAACGCAAAGCCCATATGCATGCCCTGCATCATCAATGGCAGAAGGGGGAACAAGGGACCATCTTTCATCTTCGCTACCCACCATCACTTCGGCTGCCCGTCATTAGCATCCTTCTTGAACCTCCTCCCTTTCTCACCCTCCCCCCCCCTCTCTGTTTCTTAAGCTTCAGGGGGTGGGGGGAGCCTTGTCGAGGCTTGGCTGACCGCTGGTTGCTCGCTCGTCAAACACCCAGCAACCCATTTGGCTTTTTGCTCGTTTTGCCTTGTCATCATCAAACAATCGGGTTATT